GCGGTCCGGAGAAATCGGTGAACATACATAAAAATAAAACAAATATACATACAGCCGAATATAGAACCCCCTCCGTTTTTGAAGTCAAATCAACATTATCTATCCCATACTTTTATATTTTGTGGAATAAATTTCGGTCTATCTCCTACCAGTCAACCAATGTACATACAATAATATGTAAGGTGGTAAGGTACGCGATCAAAGTAAGTATAATTTATTATAAGTACTTACGTAACAGGTAAGTAAGTACTTACCTATTGAGCACAGAGCCTTTGATTTTAGAAGTCAGTTGCTCGTCCTTCTATTCTAAAATGTATAAAATTATTTTAGTTGAATGAATGTACTACTCATCTCATAATCACTCACATAGTATATAGGTAGATACTTACATAAAAAAATAACAGCCCACTTCTATAAGGTATAATAATATGTAGTAAGTCCCCACGTCTACATAGACTATGCAATATAATAAAATTGCAAAGTAACACAAACAAATTCATTATGTAACTTGTCGTAAATGTACGCAAATATAGGCTTTGAATGAATGAACGCTCCTGCTGCTGGTATCGTAGTGTGCGTAAAAATTAGTGTAATGGCTCCAGTACACGTTGGCAGAATTTCGTGGTGCCGTTCACACGTTGGCGTGTTTCATTCTGCGTTGGTAGCTAGATGATGATGGACGTTAGGGTGATCGCGGCCGCTGCATTATACTTATATTTCACTTTCCTCAGAGTGAACGAAAAAGAAACTACATATACAATAATAATCCATATGTCCTTTTTAGGGTTCCGACCTCAAAAGGAGAAAAGAAACTCTTATAGGATCTACTAACTGACCCGTGCCCGCTTCGCTGGGGTTTTTTTTCAAAATAAAAGACACCCTAAAAGAAGCCCCTAAGCTACATTATCCCTGAGCAACATAAACTCAGAGATAATTTATAATAATATTTATCATTAGGTAGGTACTCTGAAATCGCAACTATACGTGTATTATTTAATGCAGTTAGGCAAGTTGTTACTCTGGTTTTATTTTTATGTTGCTCATGTTTGGGGTTCCATATAACTGATTCATCGTGACAATCAATCAGTGAACCTAAATATTTCCTCATTAGTCCATGTCGCCATGTTGAAACAATTTTATTAAGCCGACACTACAGTCTACTCCGACGCGTAACTATGAACTGAACACTCGGCCAACGTGTGATCGCTGTTTGCGGCTTGCGCCAAATTTCTTTGATTTGTGCACGGAAAACCGACACTATACGGCTCGTCGGCGAGCGTTGGCTGCAAACGCCTAATGGCTCCAGTACACGTTGGCCGAGCGCGCTTGGCGAGCGGACTCGGCGGATTTTCGTGGTGCCGTTCACACGTTGGCGTGTTGCATTCTGCGTTGGTAGCTAGATGATGATGGACGTTAGGGCAATCGCGGCCGCTGTCATATACTTATACAGCGCTTCACTCTTCTCAGAGTGAATGAAAAAAAAAACTACACATACAACAATAATCCCAGTTTGTCCTTTTTAGGGTTCCGACCTCAAAAGGAAAAAGAAACCTTTATAGGATCTACTAGCTAATCCGTGCCCGCTTCGCTGGGGGTTTTTTCAAAATAAATGATAGCCCAAAAGAAGCCCCTAAGCTACATTATACCGGAACAAATTAAACGCAGAGATAATTTATAATAATATTTATCATTAGGTAGGTACTCTGAAATCGCAACTAAACATTTATTATTTAATGCAGTTAGGCAAGTTACTTACTCTGGTTTTATTTTTATGTTGCTCCTGTTTGGGGTTCCATATAACTGATTCATTGTGAGAATCAATCAATGAACAATGAATCAATATTTCACTCCATAATTATTAAATCGTAATGTGTTGGTATGCATATAAGTAACATTAAAAATATATTATATTGAATTATATATTTTTTCATAATATATAATATTTATTTATATATATACATGCGTATATATATATATATATATATGTGTGTGTGTGTGTATGTATATATTTGTATTGTATATGTATATTTATGTAAGTACAGACTTTGACTACCTCCATTTCCTTCAACTATCCTTCAATAGGCCTGCTGGAAGAAATTTCATCATGGAATAGGCAGTGCCTTTGTACATAATTATGTTTTTACCATTTTCCTATCGAATTATGTGTGTACATAAACTGTTAAATAAATAAATAAATATTTCCTCATTAGTCCATGTCGCCATGTTGAAACAATTTTATTAAGCCGACAGTAGGGTCGGAGTAGACTGTAGAGTCTACTCTGACGCGTAACTATGAACTGAACACTCGGCCAACGTGTGAACACTGTTTGCGGCTTGCGCCAAATTCCTTTGATTTGTGCACGGAAAACCGACACTATACGGCTCATCGGCGAGCGTTGGCCGCAAACGCCAAATATATACAAAACGGCCCAGTACACGTTGGCCGAGCGCACTCGGCGAGCGCGCTCGGCCAACGTGTACTGGAGCCATAATATATACAAAACGACCCAGTACACGTTGGCCGAGGGCGCTCGCCTAGCGCGCTCGGCCAACGTGTACTGGAGCCATAATATGTTGTATTTGTGTTGTTCACGCTCGGAGCCCGGCGGGAGGCAGAGCGTGCGTTATGAAACAGATAGCATTTTTGAAAATACCTACTCGCGTCCCGTATCGGCACTTCACAATCCTCTTAACTGGGGAATGACTACGCTCTCACAGAATACCAGCGTAAAATAGCAGCTCAACGCTGCTGTGTTTCGTATGGTGAGTGTAGAGAACCGTTGACACTTTTTTACTGAAAAAGAGGCATTCCATCTTCGTCCCCACGGGTGACAACGCATTTGCATTTTGATTCGCAAACGAGGATAGATGTAGATGTATATGGGTCACAGTGTTCACTTACCATCAGGTGGACTGTGTGCTCGCTTGTCACCCTTATCCTATAAAAAAAAGAGTACTGGTCATATTCTACATATTAATTACTAAACTGCGGAGTTACCCAATGTGACTTGAGACTGTTGACGATAATAGAAAACTGGCCGCCGTGACTGAAATTTGAACTGGAGGACATTCTTACATATTTAGGAATCGTTAATTATTTCTTTTACGAGTACGTTACATCGGTACCAAGGACATAAAATGTCGGCCCGTACCAACGATGTCCTGACCAAAATGCAACAATGAAATTCCCGCGATTATCTTATTTGAAAGGTACTTGGAATAAAACATTAATTTAAATTTGTATTTATTTTACAAAAACCTTAAATAATGCATTCCTCATTATAATATTTAATAATATATTTAATAAATTAAGTTTTATCTGTCACTCCATTTATTTTAAAATCTATGACATAACTTATTCGTATGGTCGAAGACTAATGAACACTTGGCATTCCTGAAAATAATAAAATTTTACCACCAACGTATAAATATAGCGTACAAGTTCTATTATATAGAGAGCCATCATAGCTTCGCTTGGTGAGGATTTATTAATGTAGCATTAATTGACTTAAGATAATCAAAGATCATTTTTATTAATTTTTTGTTTTTCCAAAATAAAACTCAATTTTCAAATAAAATGTAGCCTAAATCACTTTAGCATTTTTTTAATTACAATCGCTTTAACCCATTGAGTTATATGTACTACGTACTAGAGAAGTCATTCCAAACAAAAAATGTGTACTACTTCAATGTATTCGCGCATGCGCGGGAGATAGTAGAGTCGCGCATCGCAGTTGATTTAAGCGCGTTGCGTCTGCGCGGTCAGATTTTAATTTGATCTTGCGGATGATCTTGCATTATTATCGACGTTCCACACTGCATGAATATTGAAACCACAGACTAAATAGTATATTGAAACCACAATAAATGACACACTGTACGGATTGCAGTACAGTTCAGTTGAACATAGTGTATGTTCGGAATGCGAAATCTAGTACGTAGTATATATATATATATATATATATATCGATGCTATAACCATTCCAAAGATAAGCAACATATAGACAGACAAAACATTTAAAAACGGTTATTTATGTTTTGATAGCATGCAAGTAATCCCATTAACTCAATCGAAAGGCAGTTATTTTGATATTACAAACCGACACTTAAATTTTATTTATATGTGCCGATTACCAAATGTTTGTATTAAAAATGTATGATGATATTTACCTAGTAATGCCAAGCTCAAGTAAGTCAATCTAAATTATGTACGGCCTTATTTGTAGTCGTTGATTATCCCTTACTTAACTTAAGTCATAAAATACATAATAGTACTACGTCATAAGTAATTAGAAGTATAATTTTTTTCTACTGCCCATTAGTGAAAAGAAAGAAAGCAACTTTTCTACCGACTTCAAACAGGAGAAAGTACTAGTACTACACTATTCGACTGTATGTTTTTCTTTATGTGTGTTACCTCATAACTTTTTTCTGGGTGAACCGATTTCGATGATTATTTTTTTATTTGAAAGCTGGTGCTTCTCATGTGGTCCCGTGTAAATTTGATCAAGGTCTGACCATTAGTTTTTGAATTATTCTTAAACATTTATATTGAAGTCGGTTGTACAAAATTTTAAATTATTCAATGAAGTATAACAATATTATGCTCACCAGATGTCGCTAGTTGGAGCAAAGGCGAACTTGTTGAAAAGTTGCGATTTAATTATAGATTTTTTGGTTTTTAATATATATACGAAAAACAACGCCTCAGTGCTGTATTCTTTTTTTTTCACACATTTTTAATTTTATTTTTTAGAAATACACGTAATTTGGTTTATCCATTTCTAATCTAATTGACATGAAATATAACTAACATTTCAGAAAGAAACATTAATCTCTTAACTCCTCTAACAAATGAATTCTCTCGCTAAGAAATCTATCAAATATTTCACCTCCGCCGCCCTGGTGGCAGAAATATTCACTGACGTAGATTTTTATGAGTAAGGCCGATACTAGCCGATACTAAGGCCTAACTAAATTTTGCAAGCACAAATTCCTGGTCAACAAAGAATTTCACTTTTCCCATTACTTATAACTTCGTAGGTGTTGTCGTCGATTATTTTGTACACGTCTTGTCGATAGTGCTTCAAATTGTGAAGGAACCTGATGGAGCTCTCCTCCCGTATTTTTGTGATCACGGACGGCAGGTTTTTCGTTCCCGCTTCAGAGGCCAATGAAGCGTAGTACCGCTCCTGGTTGAAAAAAAAAAACATGAATCAGAAGAAGCAATATAATAGCAAATATAATAAATATGTTAAAAATGTCTTCATATTTGAAGATGCACAACTCTAAAATATGTCCTTACTAAAAATGCTGAAACGGTATAAATAAAATTAAATTTATGTATAATGTTTTATAGCACAAGGGTGACGAACGAGCACACAGTCCAACTGATGGTAAGTGAATACTGTGGCCCATAGACATCTACACCTAACCACGATAAGGATCAAAATATAGATGCATTGTCACTGCTGGGGACTAAGATGGAATGCCTCGTTTACTGGAAACAATACATTTAGTTATACGTGGTAGAGTCATGTTGCAGCTATATCATATGGTTGTGGCACGAAAGTGACGGCTCGACCTGGAAAGGACCACGCACTGACAGAATACCATCGTGAAATAGCAGATTGACGCTGCTGAGTTTATGGTGAGTGTAGAGAACCGGAGACCATTTTTACTGGAAACAATGCATTCCATCTCAATCTTCAGGGGTGACAACGCATCTGAATTTTTATTCTTAATTTAGGATAAATGTAGATGTCTATGTGCCGCAGCATCCACTTACCATCAGGTGGACTGTGTGCTCGTTTCTAAAAAAAAAAACAAGGATAGACCAACCCACTAGATGAAGTGAGTACCTCAGCTGCGTGCTTTGTGGCCTACAGTAGTTTTATTTTAGTTATGTACCTAGGTACCAATCGTAAATGACTTGTTTAATTCAAATAACGGGCTACAGTACTAGTAATCTTAATGTCAACGTTCTCCTTCAAGGCGATCCACAACAACCCGATAAGGCTGTCCATTGTATTCATAAATACTACTGGACCTATAAAGATGTAAACAGACTCTACTGTTATTGGCAAATTCGGTGTCAGTATTGCGTAAACTCTGATCGAAACCAGTGTGTTATATTATCAAGTTATGGATTCCTAGTACCTACGGTATAATTATTAATTTATGTACGCGCACATTGTTTTTAAATTATCTCATAATTATTGTATTTTAAGTGAATAAAATATTTTTTGGTTTTGTTTTTTATTTAAAATTAATAGTATCCGAAAAAAATGTCCAAGTTAGCTCATGTGTTCAATGTGTCAGTCTTTATTTGACCCAAAATTTCCTTTGTGGAGACGCTACAATTCACGCGGACAACTCGCACTCTACTCGCAAAGCTTAAATTGGTTGTCAATTTAATAAAAATATTCGTCGCCAGTAAATATAATTAAAATTGAACTTACACAATTTAGTAAAATTGATCGGCGAAAAATATAGTCATAGCACGAACAAGAAATCAGTTTTTGACTAACCTAGATATAATAATATAATAAATAAGTAAGTAGTGCTAAAAATATTTTAAGATTGACATGATTAACTGAATGATCTTATATTATATTTTTTTTATAGTATAAGGGTGACAAACAAGCACACAGTTCACCTGATGGTAAGTAAGGTTGCTATGGCCCATAGACATGTACATCTATCCACGTTTATGAATCAAAATGCAGATGCGTTGTCACCCGTGAGGACTAATATGTAATGCCTCGTTTCCAGTAAAAAGGGTCTCCGGTTCTCTTTACTCACCATAGCTAGTATTCTGTGCGAGCGTGGTCCTTCCCCGGTCGAGCCGAGCCATTCGTGCTATAACTATACAATTAATATAGCTGCAGCATGGCTCTACCACGTATGAAATTAAACCTTATGTGACATATGATAAAAATTATATGACTTGCCGTAAGCAATATCTAGATACAAGCTTCATCCAACATTTACCTTTGGGTGATGCACAGATAGAAATATGAAGTAGGTGTACCTTTATGTAGATAAAAGATATGTAATATAAATTAAATTAAATTAAAATAATGCTAAAATAATGCTAAACTTGCATATCAAAAAATATTTGAAATAAACATATAGTATCAAGCATATAAAAATAAATAAAGTACATAAAAATTTTATATTTATATAAGTACCAATGATCTGATAATGAGATGATTCTGCCAGTTTATTCAAAAAAGGTTCGCTTTTTTTTGAATGCATAATTGCACGTTAAGCATTCAAAAAAGTTCGTGCGCTGTGTTACACGATATGTTCGTCAAATGTGAACCGAATTTAATGATTTTTTTTGGTTGTTTTATTAAATAGCACTACTATTTACTGGTTGTACTATATACATTTGGAAAAAAACATCGACCAAGAGTAGAAAAAGAGAGGAAGAAGTTTGTAATGTAATTTACACGACGTCTTGAGCTTATAGCATATCTTAATCCACTCAAAAGGGTCAAAAATTATTTTTTTAATAAAATCTAAAAGTCGTCTTAAATTCTTCTATATCTTAACACCGACTTTGGAAGCTATTTTGTGAAAATGGATGAAAAATTTGATGATTTTATGTATTTAGGATGTGTGTAGAGATGGTAGAAATGACAAGGATATAAAACGATGAGTGATTTGCAGGACACGGAGTGAATGTGGCTCTTTAATCTATTGAAAGAAGTCATAATGTGTCAAAAGAGGTATATGGCAATTCACAATGCTGTGTTACTTAATGTATGACAGTAAAAGTTGGGTGTGGCAGAAGAGACATTAGAAAAGAGACTGTAGAAATGTGTTTATTAAGAGTTACGTTAGAGTTGACTTCGAATTATAGGGTGAGACATTGTGCGATAAGAGCAGTGTGGTTTGCAATAACACGTTATCAGGATTAAGAAAGGAGTGCTTCCTTTCTTAATCCAACATGTTAACAACGATGATTTGGACACGTAGAAATAATGAATGAGGAAAGAGTGACAAAGCAAATGCTACAGATAATTAATAGAATCAGGTACTCCCAACACCACTACACTAGGAAAGACACACCACTGACGACAATACGCTAAGTAAAGAGGCCAGCCACCGCAGAGTAGATTACCTGAAGATGCCTCGTGTAGAGGCGAAACACCACTGACGACAATACGCTAAGTAAAGCGGTCAGCCACCGCAGAGTAGATTACCTGTAGATGCCTCGTGTAGAGACGAAACACGTGTTGTCGTCAGTGGTGTGTCTTTCCTAGTGTAGTGGTGTTGGGAGTAGTGGTGCTGGGATTAGTGGTGATGGTCATAGTGCACGCAATTGAGGGAGGGCGGGAGGTGCTTCTTCAAACTAGGTAACACACATCGTTTTATTTTATTGTGCGGATGTACGCGAAGTAATTTTTTGATAACTTTAAATGCTACAGAAGTGAGTGGCGGAGTTGGCAAGGAGCGCCCGAGACGGAAGTTCATCGACCAAATTGGCGATATATTAAAATGGGTCAAGAATGTTCACTACCCCATATTGTCCCGTGGGTGTCGTAAGAGGCAACAGAGGGAAATTGAAACATATGCTGGGCAACAACATCTTCCTGATAACAACTCCAAATAATAAAAACTGCGCTTGCTAACCCGCCTGCCATGCGTGGCAACTATGGTAAAATCCCCGCTATGAGGCAATCTATGAAGGATGTAATGGATGGTTGGATGGAAGTTAAAGAGTACTTTTAATACGTAGTGCTATTATTTATTCTGTGCTTTTAGTGATGAGCATGTATGCGTGAATAATGTGAAAGAAGTGAGAGAGGTGTCAGGGTCGTGCCAAATGGAAGTCCGTAAGCTCTACCTACGTTCTGAATGCCAGGCGTGAGTTTATGTATATATATGCAGATGTTTCTTTCAACATCGTTGACCATTATATGTTTGTTTTTAGTGTGTATTTATATATATATATATATATATATATATATATATATATATATATATATAAATTTTTTTTGAAACCTTTTTATTTTTGTAGAGAATATAATATGATATGAATATATTTAGGTATAATATATTTTGTATATCCCTAAATGTATATATAGGTTATATTTATGAGCAACGAAATATTTAAATTTATAAAATAATTTTTGAAATGTATTTCATAAATACTTCCAGGCGGATCGTGCGTGTATCTGTGGTTATGACAGAATCATCAGCGCTGTAGGTTAACCTGCAGCATTACGCTGAGTCCTAACCTTTTCACTGGCTCGATACACACCCCATCTCTTATAATTTTAATCTACCATACTTTTAACTGTTTATTTTTTATTTTTGTGATGTGTACAGTTACAGTGAATAAATGTCTTTCTTTCGTTCTTTCTATGCTTAAGTTTGTTGAAATCGGCATTGACTTTTTATTTAAAGTATAATTTGATAAAATTAAGCTTAGGACACACTTCGTGAATGAACATGAATATATTATTTGTATAAAGTATATTCTTACACTGATATCACAGCGGGCAGCCTCTTCGCAACTCAACCTTCTACGTTTGGACGTTTAGGAAAGTATAAAAAGGTTTGCTTAAATTAACGAAAAAGGGGTTTACTTAAGTTTTTATTCCTTTAAGTAAGATGTTTAAATTGATCTTAACTCTAATTTACATAGTAGTATTAGCGAATATCAAATACTTTTTATCTATCTATAGCAAGTTATATGTAAATAGTATAGGTATCTAATTACAGTGGAATCTCGATAACTCGAATTTCAAACATAAAATAAACATACAGTTACTTAGACAGTTTAATGAATGTATTAATTCATAGCACAAAGTACACAAAATAGAACATAAGCAACAAACATTCCATCTGGATTTTATTGCTATGAGTTCAGGAAATTCCAAGTAAGGTGTCATTATGTTTTACTAACTTTAACTTACGGAGTCTGCTTTTGAAATTTGAGTTGTAGTATATGAATATGTATAATATTATACTATTAACACCTCGCAGGGAAATAACATTTTGTTTTACAAAGTCTAAATATATTTCGGTTCAGCGGAAGGGAATGGAAATTTATTTTCATCTTATTGAGGATTACGATTTAACGAGGTTCGAGTTATCGAGATTCCACTATATAGGTAGGACTTTAAAGGCGTGCTCTATTTAGAAACCTGATAGCAAACAAAACTGTTGTTATCGATCAAGCGGTAAACGTCGTCCCTGTAATGTGTGAGATTGTGGAGGAACTTGAGGCTGCTATCGTTGTGGACTTCAGTGAGGACGGGCGGCAGGGGCGCGGCGCCAGACTCCTGCGAGAGGCTGTCGTAGTACCCAGCCTGTTTCATCCATTATGACGTCAGGAGTTATTAAAACTGTATAATTCTTAACGTAAGCATAGAAAGAGCAGTGCGATTGTTTCATAATTCTATACTTCAAAGTTTTAATATTTTTTTTTTATAAATAGAAATAGAGTTACAAACGAGAGCACACAGTACGTGATAGTAAGTTTAGATAGACATATACATCTGTCTTTGATTAAGAATCAAGAGGACTAAGAATAAACGAATCGTTTTCAGTAAACAGTCTCCGATTCTCTACACTCACCATATAAAACACTACTGCATTCAGCTGCTATTTTACGCTGGTATTCTGTGAGAACGTGGTCGGTCGCTCCGGTCGAGCCAACCAGCTCGTGGTATCTACAACCATAATAAAGTTACAGCGTGGCTCTACCACGTGTAACTATTATCTAGGAGAAGAATGTTTTTATGTATTTGTTGTCATGGTGAAAGAAACCAGGGCGGGGGCGGATGTATATATCGGCTTTTTGTGTTGCAAGAGCCCCACAGATATAAAGGGCCCCCAGCCATTGAAGACAATGGCTAGCAAAGTTTTAAAAATAATTATGATGTTATTATGAAAATTTTAAAAGTTTTTGTGAAAATGAGATCAAGAAAGTAAATTTTCGAAAAAAAAATACATCAGTACATCAATATAGAAAATATTTTTGACAAAATGGCCGTTACTTTGATTAATTCGGTAGGCCCCCAAATAGTGCAGGGCCCCACTAATTCGTAGTTCGAACCCGGCCTGAGGTGCACCGGACCTAAATTCAATCGGTCTATTACAAAACCTAGTCTCAGGCTTAAACAAGAGCCCTTGTCATGAAAGATGTCCATTAGACGCGGCACCACAGTCTTCCAACAATTTGACATTTGCTGTCAATTTACATAGTTTGTATTTAAGTTCGCATATTTTACACGTATTCCAGGAGATATCTGCACATGAGTACAGAAAACTATTACATATCAATTTTTTAATGCGATTCTGTTCAAATTGTCCTATATAAAATAATAATATAAATGCATGTTGCCATGTTGCAACTTGGTGCCTTATTGTTTAAACCAGAGACTTATAAACTACTAAGTATTTGTAACAAGATGGATAATTTTTGAATGAATTTGCTGTTGTACGACTTTAATATTCAAATAATTTTTTTGTTTTTAAATGAATGTTACCCCCACACTAGGATTGTCTCCTGTATCGCAGAGGCAGTTTACAAACACAAATTGCACAAAAACAAACGTCCAGACCTGGAACAATTATTTGTAGGTCATACATATACTTGTTCCGTGCGGGATTAGAACCCGCGGCCCCCAGCACAGCAACTCATTGCTGAGCCACGGAGCCGTCAAATGATTAATTTATCAAATTAATTTGTGTCACATTATATCGGATTCGGTCGGGACCACTGTAAACATAAACGCTATTGGTAAATAAATCTGTTAACTAGGTATATTACGATAAAATATAAGGCACATTGATAACATTTTCATACGTGGTAAAACCGAGCTGCGGCTATATTATGATTGTAGCACGAGTAGGTCGGCTCGACCGGTGGTGGACCACGTTCTAACAGAATACCAGAGTAACAGAATACAATAGCAGCTTAATGCTGCTGTGTTTCCTATGGTGATTGTAGAGAACCGGAGACTCTTTCTTCTGGAAACGAGGCAACCTGTCTTAGTCCTTAGGTGTGACAACGCATTTGAAATTAAATGCATAGTTATATGTTGATGTCTATGGACCCCAGTATCCACTTCCCAGCAGGGCTAGCATGGGCAGGAGACAATTTTATCCCCGGGGAAAGGAAAAAATGTTTATCTATCATTGTTATCTATGTTTATCATATGTAATTCACCGGTGTATATAATATCCACAGTAGATAAAATGTGCGATAGACTTAGATAGATTTTTGTATAAATATCAACTTAAACCCACGTCCAATGAATTAGGATAGAACTGTCCCATAATTTTTTATCTTTCATTTGGCTCCATGCTACGGACGGGTGATATATGTCTATTCGTTATGTCAAACGGAGATATATTTCTCCCCGTGGCCGTGCTTTGGCATAGGGACAAGATAATTTTATCTCTTGTCAGTGGATATAATCGGGGGATAAATTTTTTGTCCAAAGTCCATGCTAGCCGTGAAGGTGAAGTGTGAGCTCGTTTGTCACCCTTTTTGTAAAAAAAAATCGAAATAAGTTAAATGTTACAAACCTCATTTTGTTTTTGAAATATCTATAAAAGGACACCTCGCTCGAGCAGGAATTTTTTCCCAACTCAAAGAAGGAACCCAAAGAAAGAGGCCATTTCAATAAACAAAACATACATAATAAGGAAAGGAATGACCGTTTAACGACCACTTGTTAGCAATGCGAATCCCTTAAATGGGTTCTTCTGTATGCATTTCTCAATATATGTATATTCAGAAATATCCGTGAACAGAATAAGTTATGTAATGTGAGCGAGATAAACATAGAAGGAGTAAAGACTTACTAATAGAAAGATATATAAAAAAAATCTTTATTGTACTCAAAACAGGCCGAAAAGGCATTCTCTGCCAGCTAAACTATCGACGTGTGGTGACAGCTATAGGTAGAAAAAAAAAGCTTGTGTGTTTACTGCATACTTTCATAGCGTTTCGCCTTTTTTTTTGAATAATAACCGATGTTTTATAAACTATGAAAACTCTATAGATATGGCGGCAATTGATGTCGAATCACATCTATTGTATTTTAAATATGGAACACTGTTACCGGTTTTATTTCTTAACTATCCACCCGCTTTAGTAGGATTAATAAATGTGGAGTTCTTTAGGTTTAAGATAGTCAAAGAAATTATTTTTTTTAAAAAAGTTCCATATTTTCCGGATAAAGTGTAGCCTAGGTCACTTCTGGCATTGTTTTCTATCTGTACATGAAGCTTCATTACAATCGGTTGAGCTCTTTCCAAGGTTAGTCCGGGTAGACAGACAAAATCTTAATTTTTTTAACTCATGTCTTAATGGTATGCAAAAACCTTTTGGCTCAATCTAAGACAGTAATTTCGATATTACAGACATTTAAATTTTATTTACCTGTATGTATAAATTTTGGTATGTTTAAGTGGATTGCTATTTGTCAAACGTCATAGATAATTTTGAAATTTCACATTCGTTTTGGACGATTTTTCTAAATTTAATATTAGTAAAACTATTTTGTGTATTTGGGTAGAGTTATGTGTTATGATATTGGCTCTGCACTTCTGTAAAGTAGTTAAAAAAAACTTTTGACAGGAAGCAGCTGATATTTTCTGTAAAAATGTGGCAGTTGTATATCAATTTAAGACTGTAATTTACAGACCCGTTACGCAGGGTATCATTAGAGAAAAAAAAAAAAGAAAATTAAGATTTGAATTCACAAAAATAGTATGGTAATCACAGGCTGTCAATTTTCTCTGTTTTTTTTTTAAATGTGTAAGAATCAAAATGTAGATGCGTTGTCAACTCAGAAGACGTTGATCAGAATGGCTCGTTTACGGTATAAATGGTCTCCTGTTCCCTACACTCACCTAGTCACGACACAAAACACAACAGTATTAGTCCAGTATTTTACGCTGGTATTGTGTAGGGTACCTGCGCGGGGCCCATCATGTGCGCCTGGCGCCGCGTGAGGCCGCGCGCGGCGCGCTCGCGCACCTCGCGGCGCCGGTGCCGCAGCATCTCGTCGCGCCGCGGCAGCGAGAACACGCCTTTCATCGCCTGCACGTAGTACCGCACCTGCGGAGCCATCTCGCTTTAGCCCTGCTTCATTCTTACTTAAAATATTGGCGCGTGCAACAAAACCCACGTGGAAAACGTAAAACTACTTTGGTGATATAAATCGCTGTTAATTTTTTTTATAGTGGAAAAATGGAAAAACGAGTGCACGATCCACCCGATGATAAGTGGATGCATATGACTCGATTAAATTTAGTGTTAAGACATTTTTGAGGTTTTGTGGTGAAATATGCCTATACTTATCTTCACGCACAATCCCTGACGGGGTAGCCAGAGAGAACAGATCGCCAAGTGTCACGATCCTTACAAACCTCTTTCGCTTCTTTCAGATTCATTATCTTCTTCATGCATGCACGTCGAAGTATCCGAGTACTTTTGACCCTACCCTCTTCGAGCAATTTGCTCACATGGTCTTCGAAAGTTAGTCTCGGTCTACCTCGACACCTTTTAATATTAACTTTCGCGCTATATATTTTCTTCACCATTCGGTCTTCACTCATTCGCTCAACGTGCCCAAACCACCGAAGCACGCCCTTATCAATTTTTGTGATAAGGTCATCTTTCAAACCTGCCATATTGCGAATCTCTTCGTTTCGCTTTCGGTCGGCCATGGTAACGCCGCACATTTTACGAAGAGATCGCATCTCCACTGCATTCAACTTACTTTTATGCTTCTTCTGGCATACCCAGGTTTCGCTGCCATATAACAAAGTCGGTACCAACACTGCGTTATGTATTGCAAGGCGTGCACTCTTCGCTACGCCTTGCCTTTTGACTAACGCAGTCAGGGCACCATTGACTTTGTTCCCGGCAGCGACGCCTGTCCACATCTAAATCACATCTTCCATCCCGGCTAAAAGCACTCCCCAAGTATACAATTTCATTTACCTGTTCTAGACATTCCTGATTTACCCATATTTCACACTTCGTTCTCTCTTCGTCCCTTTCAAATACCAGAACCTTAGTTTTATTAGCATTCAGACGGAGACCTTTAATTTCACATTCCTCTTTCATACACGTGACTAATGCCTGCAGTTCTGCCTCTGATGGTGCAATAAGCACTGCATCATCAGCATACAGCAGACAATTTACTTTAATGTCACCCAATTTCACACCCAAACAACTATCTTTCAGCTTCTGTAAACAGCTGTCGAGATACAGTATGAACAGCCAGGAAGACATGACACAACCCTGCTTTACGCCCGTTTGGACGTTAAACATGGGTGACAGGTCATGCCCTACCCGCACACAGGCTTTACAGTCACAGTAAAGAGACTGCACAGCCCTTAGCAATTGACCATCCACACCATACCCCGGCAACAGTTCTCACATTTTCTTCCTTACAACCTTATCAAATGCTTTCTCAAGATCCACAAAAGCACAGAAAATCTTCTGGTTAGCAGCCAGAAGCTTCTCCGTGATCATGCGGTGAGAAAACATTTGATCCGTGCATCCTCTTCCAGGTCTAAATCCGCATTGTGCCTCCCATAGAAATCTTTCCGATTTCTCTTGCATCCTACGTGTCAAAACCTTCGAGTAAACTTTACTTGCTAAACTGGTCAAGCTGATCGCCCGATAGCACCCGCAGCCAAAATGTGAACCTTTACCTTTATATAAAGGCACAATGACTGCGGATCGCCAATCATCCGGGACATCCCCCGTCCGCCAGCACAAATTGCACAGCAGATGAAAGCTGGGTCAGACGCGAGGCCCACCATACTTGACCATTTCAGCAGTAACTCTGTCTAGTCCCGCAGCCTTACCACATTTCAAACTTCGAATCGCACGTTCAATCTCTTTCATACTGATGACCTCAGTGTCATCGAGGTCCGGGTCTGGCGTACCAGTCACGGCGTCATCCCCGGATCCCTCACTAAGATCATCACAGGCATACATTTCTCTATAAAATTCGCTCCATCGCTGCATGACGTCCGATTTTTCTGTGAGGACGTCATTAGTTCTCGAAAGCACTTTGTTCATTCTTAAGGCCGTCGCACCACTTCGGGCCCTTCCAACCTCTTTCCAGAAGAGTTTGGAGTTCTCCTTAAAGTTGTGCGACAACCTTTCGTCCGCTTCCATTCTACACCTTTCACGCACTTCCTCAATCAGTGCTTTCGTGTGAACTTTCTGCAGCCTATATCTTTCTTTCATCTTCTCTCTCATATCCTTATCATTACTAGAGGCCAAGTAGTCTAACCATGCTTTCTTCTTCTTCTTTACAGCTTCTTTCACTTCATCATTCCACCATGCATCTCTTCTTTTACTACTGCCTCTTTTTATTGTTCCACACACTTCTTCCGCTGCACTTACCATTCCATCCCTAAGGTTCTGCCATGTTCTTTCTACACATTCTTTTCTGCCATCGATGGTGTCAAGCTTTTCGGCTACCCTCCCATGATATTTGTCCCTAGTATCCGCTTCCTGAAGCTTCCAGCTTCGGATGCGACAGACCGACTGTGGTTCTGTTACTGCCGTCCGGTAGCGCCAACCCGCGAGCAGACCCCTAAATCTAGTAATCACTAGATAGTGATCCGTTCCCAGGTCAGCACCCCTGAACACTCGCGTATCCATCACCTGTTTTCGCAGTCGGTCATCCACCAGGAACAAATCGATCATACTTCTCTCATTCTTTCGTTCTCTAGTATACATATGGATTTTCTTGTGATTAAACATAGTGTTTGTCACAAGAAGACCCTTTTCCTTGCACACCGCCAGTATAAGCTTGCCAGCATCATTAACCCTTTTATCGCCAAACTTTCCAAGTACCGACTCGTACCCTGGTCGAGCGGTACCAACCCATCCATTCAAATCACCACATACAACAATTCTTTCGTTTCCCCTAGCCAAATCTAGAACTTCTCTTACATTCTCCCAAAACTCCTCCAGCTCAGCCCTGGACGACGAAGCTACCGGCGCATAAACAGCCAAAAGGAATAACTTCGTCAGTCCCAATTTAAAGCGAACCCAGAGAAGTCTTGAGTTCACAACCTTATATTCAGTCATAACATCGACCAACCGAGAAGACAGCAGCACCCCCACTCCCTGGCAGGCGTTCTCGCTCTCCGGGACTCCGGACCATAGAGCTAACGCCCCGCCAGGGAGCTCTTCAGTACCACTGCCCTTCCGTTTGGTCTCCGACATACACACGACATCTAATTCTCTTTCTTTCATTATTTCGATCAACTCATTCGTCTTATCTCTCATGCCTCCTCTAACATTCCACGTGCCAACTCTGCACTCTGTCCTCCACCTTCCGCCGTGTCGGGCTGTGCGTGACGGGTGGCGGTCCCCATCGCCGCTTTGCACGCTGCATTCCACACCAACGGGGACGAGCTGGTGTGCGTCGCCTTGGGGGGACGCCCTAACCCTCGTTGGCACGGGTGCGCAGCTAGTAGAATTGCAGCGCTGAAAAGGGCTGGCAGGGGTCGCGACGAGCACGCTTCTACAATGACCCTTCTACAATGAAATATGCCTATACATTTTTATTTTCATTTTTCATTCATTTTTCAAAAGGGCCTCCAGTTCTGTACACTTACTATACAAAACAGCATTAAACTGCTATGTCATGCTGGTATTCTGTAAGTAGGTGGTTCTACCCCGGTCGCGTCAACCCAATCATCCTACAACCATAATATATCTGCAGCGTGGATCTACCACGTATGATAAAATATTGGATAACCGTGTAGCGACAGTGTAAACATAAGGAAATTGAACCAAGAGGTGAAAGACAGTATCTTCCTGATAACGGTTGCCAACTCACTTGCTAAGCGTATTAGCTATGGCTAATATCCCTCTATAAGATAATGTTCGGGGGAGGCCAGCAGTAAACTTTTATATTAAATAAGCTGTACTAGTTAAAAATGAAGTACTTAAATACAAATATCTTAAAGCCGACTACTCACACGCCTGCCGCAAGGACAAATTAGAATTAGGACGCTCACCCGGGAGGGAAAAGGAGAGTGGATAAAATTTAACTTTGCTTTATAACGTACATATGCCGCTAGATAAAAGTATTCCATTAATTTTGCCAATTTTTAGCTAAAATGATGAATAACTTGCTTATAGTAGCGTTCACTGCTAGTTTCTCTCGGTTGTCACTGGGCGGCTAGGGTTTATGCGTCGTTGGCGCACCGAGCCGAGTGTTGAACTATTTTAATTTTTCATTATCTTTTAAATTATGCATCCAAATAACATGCTATAAAAAGCAAAGTTTATCTTCATAAAATGATCTTGAAGATAAAGTAAGTTTCGTTCTTGTGGATTAATATGCCACGCCTAATAATAACACTCATAAATCACTTTTTAAATTTCAAATATTTTTGAACACAATACGTTATTGTGGCTATTATGTACAAGAAATAAGCATATAGTATCGCGGACTTTTCTTAGATGGAGTAAACATATATAGTTTTATAGAATATTGTATTTACGCAAGCGCACGCGGATAAGTCATTTCGGGAGCGCTTTTTCTTCTGACTTGCTTTACAATAATCAATATTTAAAGCTAACTGAGCGATAGCCTAATGCTAGATAGCCTATACTATATATATCCTCATGAATCTGGCTATAATATACAAAAAAAAATTTTTTTCGAACTGGTAGTTCCAGAGATTAGCGCGTTTAAACAAACAAAAAGACAAAAAACTCTTCCGATTTATTACCTTTTTTTTATAGGATCGGGTGACAAACGAGCACACAGTCCACCTGATGGTAAGTGGTTACTGTGACCCATAGACATCTATATCTATCTCGATAAAGACTCAAGATGCAGATGCGTTGTCACCCGTGAGGACTAAGATGGAATGCCTCTTTGCCAGTAAAAAGTATCTCCGGTTCTCTACACTCACCATACGAAACACAGCAGCGTTAAGCTGCTATTTTACGCTGGTTTTCTGTGAGAGCGTGGTCCTTCCCCGGTCGAGCCGACCCATTCGTGTTACAACCATAATATAGCTGCAGCATGGCTCTACCACGTAGAATTACCTATATTATTATAGTATATAGTATAGATGAAAAAGTGACTCACCTGTAGATCGAACATGGAAAACGCGCACACGTAGTAAGGGACCCCGACCAGACACATGGTGGGATGGTGAATGTTGACCAGGTGCTTGTACAGCGGCTCCACGCAGTTCTCTTTCACCACGATGCCGCAGGATTCGTGCAGGAACGGGAAGTTGTACATGTAACCTATGAACGAAATGGTAATTGGTACACGGAGCTGGAATTGAAAGTGTGAAGTAATACTGGTGATACTAGTGGTAGAACTCCCTTTCTGTCCTGGAATCCGTCATCACTCATCAGGGTAGGTACCACCCTATTAACTATCTCTGTTGCAAAATGTATTTTTATAGGATAATGGTGACAAACGAGCACGCAATCCACCTGATGGTAAGTGGATGCTGTGACCCATAGACATCTACCATCTACATCTATACTCGATTAAGAATTTATATGCAGACGTGTTCTTACTCCTGAGAACTAAGATGGAATGCCTCTTTTCCAGTAAAAGGGGTCTCCGGTTCTCTACACTCACCATACGAAACACAGTAGCATTAAGCTGCTATTTCACCCTGGTATTCTGTGAGAGCGTGGTCCTTCCCCGGTCGAGCCGACCCATTCGTGCTTAAACTATACAATTAATATAGCTGCAACATGGCTCTACCACGTTTAAAATCCGAAGATCTTTACTTAATTAATAAATCCAGGAGATTTGCAGTCTTATAACTATTGTTTATAACAACGATAAAACAAAAAATAACTGCGGTTTCTAATCCGCCTCCTAAGTGAGGTAAATATGGCATATATACCCTATATGATACAATCTATGGGGAAGGCCTATATTCAGTGGGCTTTTATAGGCCAGTGAATATAGGCTTTATATATATATATATATATTCTGTGTATATATATATATATACAGAATGTCCCAGTAATGGTGGATAATCTAGTACGTACGTATTCGGGCGGGGGGGAGGTGGCCTCGGTTCCCTAAAAAAAAAATTCTATCCCGAACGGTGCGCGGTCTACGCCATGTTTTATAAAATTCCGAAAATTCGTACTTTTGCTCAAAACTTGAAACCCCAAATAACACGCGGGCGAAGTCGCGAGGAACAGCTAGTATAAAATAAGATATTAATAAAGAATAAATATAAAAATTTAATATAAAATATATATAAGAATTTAATATAAAATATATATAAGAATTTAATATAAAATACTCTTTTAAATTTTAATCTAAACAAACATATTTCTAAATAAAATGTAATAATAATTATCTTACGGAATTCACAAATCTTCAATTTACTCAATATTTAGTTTAGTGTACGTATTGCAGTACAGTTCAGTTGAACATAGTCAATGTTCGGAATGCGAAATCTAGTGCGTAGTACATATATACGAGTATATACGGATGTCCCAGTAATGGTGGATAATCTGGTACGTACGTGTTCGGGCGAGAGGGAGGTGGCCTCGTTTCCCTAAAAAAAAATTCTATCCCGAACGGTCCGCGGTCTACGCCATGTTTTATAAAATTCCGAAAATCGTACTTCTGCTCACATTTGTGGTCATCACGTCCGCAGTTTAATGCCTAGATCGGATTTTTTTCTTTTAATGTGTTCCCTAATAATGATGTTTCTAAATTACCCTTAAAACTTTTCAACTACTATGGGTAGTATTTTACAAGATGGCACTAAACATAAGTTTAAATTTTTTACTTTATTTAACTGCTAAGTTTGAGCACCTGTGGTGAAAAAAAAAAACGTAAAGGATCTGTGTGGCCAATCATTTATAAAGTTTGCCTATATCATAAGGATTCTAAAACATTGGCATACCATGTACTTAATGGCATTACTTACTGAGCTATAGCCGTTAATGTGTAAAAGTAGGCATTTCATAACAAAATTACAAAATTATTGGCAGATAAGTTTTTTTTTAACATTGCATGTCTTTATTAGGGAAGTATATTTGTCGCCATTTTTCATTTACTATCTGCTCGCCTTGTTTGGACGAATTCTAAGCTGTGTGAGCGAGACAAACGGTGCTTAGGATTAATGTGAGTAAAAAGGATCGACAGATTCTCCATTGTATGAATTCGTGTTTGCTTATTGTTAAATATGGTTAGTGCGTATCTCGACCTTCTCGACATCGCATGTGCTCTATTATTTCTAACTTTTGGCTACAAAATACTATTTCGCATTCTACTGGACTCTTTTGCATTTTGATTGGATTGTGATTGTTTGGTGATAATTGTGATAACTCGGTATTCTACTGGACTCATGATTTGCTGTGTAATGTCACGAGAAATGTACACATCCCAAGAGTATGCTATCATGCATTTTATCTATGGTGAATGTAGCGTGTTTATAAGAGAGCACGGCATTTATTCAGAGAGGAGAATGCCTGGTGCTGGTATAGGTGGTGCCAGTTGCAGAGGACGATACCTGACATTGACATTGAAGAAACTGTCCATGATATGGTTGAAAAAGATATGTCTATTTCGATGCGAGATATCGAACGACGCACTGGAGTATCGTATATCGATATATCGAGTAGACTTCACCCTTATCGTGTTACACGTGTGCAAACGCTTCAATAACGTGACTACCCAGCACGAATTACTTTTTGCAGCGAAATGCTGAGGCGAATGGATGAAGATCCCGAGGTTTTAGAAAAATTTTGTGGAGCGACGAGTCAACGTGTAAAAGAGACGGATACCTTAACTTGCATAATCTGCACAGTTGGCAGCGAACAAACCCATATTTGATGAGAAAAGACAGGTCGCAATACCAGTTTAAAATAAATTATTGGACAGGAATACTAAACGGAAGAATCATAGGCCACTAGAATTGCCGGGTAAACTGAATGGGGCCAATTATTTAGAATTTCTGCAAAATGAGCTGCCCATTTATTAGAAGATGAGCCACTAGCCATCCGGCTAAGAAGAGAGTCCGGCACATTACGCCGTCCAAGTAAGGAGTTACTTAAACGAAGCCAACCGTGACCGGTGGATGGGCCAAATGGGACCATGGAGATGGTCCCATTTGGGACCATGGGGAGATTTTTTGTTGTTTCGCTCACACAGCTTAGAATTCGTCCAAACAAGGCGAGCAGGTAGTAAAGTAAAATTTTCTAGGGCGACAAATGTACTTACCTAATAAAGATATGCAATGTTAAAAAAAAAAACTATCTGCCAATAATTTTGTAGTTTTGTAATGATATGCCTACTTTTACACATTAACAGCTATAGCTCAGTAAGTAATGACATTAAGTACATGATATGCCAATATTTTAGAATCCTTATGATATAGGCAAACTTTTTAAATGGTTGGCCATACAGATCCAATACGTTTTTTTCTCACCACAGGTGCTCAAACTTAGCAGTTAAATAAAGTAAAAAATTTAAACTTATGCTTAGTGCCGTATTGTAAAATACTACCCATAGTAGTTGAAAAGTTTTAAGAGTAATTTAGAAACGTCATTATTAGGGAACACATTAAAAGAAAAAAATCCGATCTAGGCATTAAACTGCGGACGTGATGACCACAAATGTGAGCAGAAGTACGAATTTTTGGAATTTTATAAAACATGGCGTAGACCGCGGACCGTTCGGGATAGAATTTTTTTTAGGGAAACAAGGCCACCTCCCTCCCGCCCGAACACGTACGTACCAGATTATCCACCATTACTGGGACACCCGTACTACGCACTAGATTTCGCATTCTGAACATTGACTATGTTCAACTGAACTGTACTGCAATACCTACACTAAACTAAATATTGAGTAAATTGAAGATTTGTGAATTCCGTAAGACAATTATTGTTACATTTTATTGAGAAATATGTTTGTTTAGATTAAAATTTAAAAGAGTATTTTATATTAAAATCTTATATATATTTTATATTAAATTCTTAAATATGTTTTATATTAAATTCTTATATTTATTTTATATTAATATCTTATTTTATACTAGCTGTTCCTCGCGACTTCGCCCGCGTGTTATTTGGGGTTTTAATTTTTTTGCGCGGTACCCTAATTCTTTTTCTAAAATAAAAGTAGCTTAAGTTACTCCTTGACATCAGCTATCTGCCAGTGAAAATCCCGTCAAAATCGGTCCAGCCGTTTCGGGGTTTAGCCGGAACAAACAGACGGACAGACAGACAGGCAAAAACTTTAAAAGTTGTATTTTTGTAATTAGTACTGTATATACTTTCATATGCATTTAGAAAAAAGCTGTAATTTTGACATTACAAACATACACTTCAATTTTGTTTATTTGTATAGATTAAACTAGCTGGCCAGGCAGACGTTGTTCTGCCACTTTCGACGACCCTTCATATAAAAATTCTTAAATTCGTAATAAAAAAAAATATTTAGTGTCACTTATCAGGATAAAACTATCCTATCTCACAAATCTGACGAAACTGCACAGAGTGTGCAAATATCATGGAAATCAGTTCAGTAGTTTAGGAGTTCATCGCGCACAAACAACGTGACATGTAATTTTTATATATAAAAGATTTAAGTATTCGCGCATGCGCGACTCTACTATCTCCCGCGCATGCACGAAGACATAGAGTAGTGCACAATTTTTGTTTGGAATAGCTTCTCTAGTACGTAGTACATATAACTCAATGTTTATAGGTTTAGGTAATGGTATAGAAACAGATTTCTTGAGTTTTTTTTTAGAAATTTCTAAAACTTACAAATGTAACACTACTTTTAGTGTTTGTAAGCAGGCGAACCAGTAGTTTATTACGGAAACACGTAACGCTATAAAATAGGTAACCTACGGATACGAATTACGTATCATACTCAACAGTGACTCGAGTATAAGAACTTGACATAAGTCGTCCACATCGAGCTACGGTAGTAACGTCATAAATCACGGGGCAATTGTGGGCTTTCATTTTACTCACCAGTGCAAAGGAAGACCACGTCAACCTCTTCTTCTGAACCGTCCTTGAAATATGCGGTGTTTCCATCAAGGCGTTCGACGTCGGGCTTCTGTACCAGATTGTCGGGGAAGACCGTGCGTGGTCGTTCGCTGAGGTGATGACTCAGCACCACCTTCTGCGCCACGCTGGTCACCTCCAGCGCGATGTCCATGCCCGACGGTCCGGCTCCAATCACCAGGACGCGTTTACCCGTGAAGAGATCCGGGACGCGGTAGTCGTGACTGTGCATCACGTCGCCTGTTTCGGGATTACAGCAGTTGCAAGAATCAATGATGGCGAAATAAGTATAGGGTGAATAAAATAAGTAGATAGTATAGGAGTAATTTTAAATTCAGGAAAATAAATGGCTGTGATATAATTTTATACTGGCGATCCGCCCAATTGAATTTAGAATTAGAAGTAGTCCGCGGCGATATATAGAATTAAGAATAATTTAAAAAATTCAATCTTTCAAAAAATCTGAAAATATTTTTCTGATAAAATATAGTCTAGATCACTCCAGGCATTATTCTCAATCTGTTCGTCAATTTTCTTTATATCGGTTCAGTTCATAAACGTCACAAATTTTTTTCGCAGCATGTCGCATTTTTCCCTTTTTTGTAATAAAACTTCAGAATGTATGTATCGAATTTATTCGTTAGATTCACTCATTTTGGCGGACAAAAAACAATTGAAAATGGCGGGAAAGTGTTTTTACTATTTATTTTTCTTTTCCTATATTAATATTAAAGTCAGCCAGATACAAACAGTACAACCAAAGAGACTTTAGAGAAGAAACTTTTCCCCGACCTATTATGTGTAGGTAGATTAGCTGGTTCGGAAGACGTTATTCTAACCTTCCTGTTAGGTGACGCGATGATTGAATCTACTGAATCCTCTTCGGACTTTTTCCAGAGTAAATGTAAAATCGTGACCAGTCTAGATTTGGTATTTTTTTGGTCCTAACCAACATAACTTGAATAATTTTTTAATACCTTGACTATAGAGCCAACTATCGAATCCTAGTATTTGCTATGATAATTCGGCTCGAGAAAACTTTTATTTGAATATAACCTTCCTTAATCGGCCGAGTCGGCACACACCGACCATTGTATATATAAAAATAAATTATTTTTTAATTATGCAAACTGCACCGCTGAGCGAACTCCATTTACCTAGCTTACCCAGCTATATAAAATTTATCGTTTATCTATTGAATTGACGCATCGTCAATAATTTAGGCGAAGCACTTCTGCCTTTTTATTGAAAGTTCATTGACAACTTTGCTATAGAAATCCTGCGATGGAAATGTCCATTTTATGATCGCAGATACTATCAAAGAAAAAATAAAGCGGGAAAACTATATATAATTGGTTTCTCCGAAACATTAAGATAACGTCTTACTTTCCAAGTATATTGAAATAGGTGCGTTCCCTGAGAAATTTATATTTTTTTCTAACGACGAGCAAAGCTTATCGCCCATATCAAAGGAGACTCATTGGATTTGTGTGTTATTTGGCCAAGAAATGAGGAAGTCACCTTTAAACTCCTTAAGTCCTGGTATACTGGGTATGAACGGCGTGTTATAGTGTCCATTACAAACAAACACGTAGTCGTATTCCCTAGTCTCTGAGACGCCGGTTGTCAGGTCCTTGAAGCTGACATCCCACAGCTCTCCGTTTGGACCTTCCTTTGGTTTCACTAGTTGGACATGGTGTTTGAACTGAAATTCATTAAATTATTTCTGTTGTTAGTTAACTATTAGCCGATTTTAGAAAAGAAGGAGGTTCTGGATTCGACTGTAATAGTTAGACTGCAAAAGTTTTTAGCGTTTAACATCGTAAAAAAATATTAATAAATGCTTTTTCATATCGTTTACATAAATTTTATTGATTGGAAATATTGTGTAAGTACTCCTTTCAAAATTAAAAATTAAAATTTCGTTTGAACCAAAGTAAGGACAAAAATAATTTTGACGAAATTAAATGGGTGGTGCGAAGAATCTAAGAAAGACGATTGGACCTGGCAGTGTATAATACACGCACATTGAAGTCAGACGCGGGTATTCTTGAAGAGAGACAAGTTACACTTGAACGTTAAATACGATTGTCTGAAGTACGAAGCTGGGACATACATAATCCTACAATCCACAAATTGTAACCCTTAGTTTAAGGAGTGTTAAAATGTTAAATAAGATTCATCATCATCGTCATTACAGCCCTTCACAAGTCCACTGCTGAACATAGGCCTCCCCCAAGGAATGCCACAAAGCACGGTCCTGAGCCACCTGCATCCATCGACTTCCTGCATGTCTTACCAGGTCGTCACTCCATCTAGCGGGGGGACGCCCTACACTTCTCTTGCCGGTACGAAGCTGCCACTCGAGAACCTTTCTTCCGCATCGTTTGTCGGTTTTTCGAGCTATATGACCGAGCCATAGCCACTTCAGCATACCTACTAATTCTCTGGGCTATGTCGGTTACTCTGGTTCTACAACGGATATCCTCGTTTATCCTCGCAAATTCTTAAATAAGATTGATAATAATCAATTCTTAAAAAAATGTAGGTGTACGGAAGTGCTGTGTAGTTTTTTTATTATGATTTTAAAAACATGCGTGAGTGTCGTGGAACAATTGGTGGGAACGAAGTTCCTTTCGTAGTATATTATTATTGATAAACGTATTATACGTGTGGTTAATTGTGTAACATACATGATTGTAAGCTATTATTTAAAAAAAGTCCCGCTGGGTTTCTTGCTGGTTCTTCCCAGGACAGAGGATTTTTTTGAACCAGTGGTAATTAAACAAAAGAGTGACTTTCAATAAGTAATATTTATAATCTATATTGAATAAAAAAAGTTTCTGTTTCTGTTTCTATATTATTGATTAACTTAAATTAATTACTAGCGTCTATTAAAATGAAGCGTCATTTAAAATAAAATAATATTTCTTTCATGGCAAGATAACACAAAGTGCGATAGAGACGGATATTATTCCATCTCGCTTCCTTATAGCCGCCAAGGCTACACTACGTCAGATGGGGTCGTGACGGAAAAATCTTACACTTTTCCTCCCCCAATCCGCGAAATTCTTCGGTCAAATTACACATTTTCTGTTTTAGCAATAGCACTAGAGCAACACGGGTCACCGGAGGATTGGAGATATTGGCGGATAATGGTCCATTAATGGTAAACTAAACTTACTTTAATGTACGGCGTGACCCCATTTTTATCCGAATACAGCTGTAGGAACGCCAGCATGTCCTTGGCGGGCAGATATGACTTCTCACTCTCCGGGACAGGAAAATCTGGGAAGCCCATAATTTCCTTAGGCAGGTTTGTCCTGAAACATTGTCAATTATTTTAAATTCTATTTGCAAGACAGTTTTTGCATTAAAGCCTACTAATATTCTAAATGTGAAAGTTTGTGAGAATGTATGGATGTTTGTTCTTTCACGTCAAAAGTACTGAATGGATTTTAATGAAACTTTACAATTATATAGCGATGCCAGGATGTTTCTCTAGGCTATACTCATCCTAAAACTTGGATTTTTTTAAATAAAAAAATTGGTCTTTGATGCTTATCTAAAATCTAAATAATGCCATACTAATAAAGGCAACTCAGGTAATGCCGGGACAGGTCATTAGTATACAATAAACATTGACGATGGAGTACCATTAAAGGCAGCACGCACCTTAGCCTATTATCGCTGACATGTGCTTTCGTATTTTTGACAAATTTAACAGAATTTATAGTTAATTTAATTATTATATGTACTTTACCCCCGTGTAGTGGCGGGTAAAAATACCCACTACCCCATGTCTTCCCGTGGGTGTCGTAAGAGGCGAAAGAGGGAAACTTAGACAGAAGATGGGCAGTAGCATCTTTCTGATAAAAGAAAATTACAATAAAAAAAACTGCGGTTGCCAACCCGCTCGCCAAGCGTGGAAACTATGGAACCCCCATGACAAAAGTTACAAAAAGACAGCCCCCAGTCCCCGGCAGCCCCGCTATTCCTGGCTACGGTGGCGACCATGGTATCGGTGGGGAAGGAGGTGCTAAGAATCTCCGGTGGAGGTTCGGTTGCCACCTAAAACGACTCGAGCTGGTAACATACAACGAACGCACCTTAAGGACTGACGAGAAAGTCCTGGAGCTGGAAGAAGAGATAGACAAATTGCGCTGGGATATTATAGGATTATCTGAGGTACGAAGAGAGGGGAAGGACACGGTAAGCCTGGAATCCGGCAACTTGTTCTATCGGCCACAAGTCTCTGGTTAACAACGTTGTAAAGATTGTGAGTGTGTCTACGAGGGTTGCGTACCTTATACTCAGAATCACCATACGGTTTTCTTTGAAGGTCATACAGGTTTACGCACCAACATCGGCACATCCCGATGAGTGAAGTGTAGGAAATGTATGAGGATATCTCTAAAGCCGCGCATTCCTACAAAACCTACTACACGGTGTTAATGGGAGACTTCAACGCAAAATTAAGCACAAAAGAGAACGGCGAGATGAGAGTATCGAAATTTGGAATAGGGTAACGGAACCCAGTGGGCCTGCAGATGACCGACTTCTTGTAGAAATAGGAACTCTTTATGATGAACTCTCTCTTCCAGAAGCGGCCCCACAGGAAGTGGACCTGGTTGAGCCCCAACGTTACGACGACTAGACGGCAACTGTTCAGTGATGTCTTGGTGATCGCGAAGGTGAAAACTGATAGAAATCACCGAATGGTTAGAGGCACACTGAAGTTAAGTTAAGTTGGAGAGGTGTCATCTAATGAAGTCAACGCTCCGTCCCCCTCGTGCTCCAATCCAAAGTCCCGAAACCTTTCAGCTCGAGTTACAAAACTGTTTTCAGTGCCTACAAGATTGCAATGCAGTGGACGATATCAATGACAAGCTTGTGGAACCTGTCCATGCGGTCGGAGCTAAGTTTTGCACGACCTGTCGCAGAAGAACACAAAAACTCTTCGCTCACACTCTTAATCTCATTGCTGTGAGACGGGAACTGCAGTCTTCACTGAATTGAACTGAACAGATCTCCAAATAATGCGGCGAGATTTACGCAACTTTAATACAGCTCGTATTGAAGAAGCGATCGAGTGGAACTAGGGCTCCAAAGTCTTTGCCAGAGATCTGCTTGCCAGAAAAAGCCAACTATCGAAGCTGAAGACCGAATGTGGCAGCATCGTTTCCGGGACATATGAGATTTTGAGTGATATTGAGAGGTGCTATTGACAGCTGTACACATCATCGTTGGAGCCACACGCAAGTGTGAGTAACGATCCAAGAGCAAGTCATATCCGGCACTATTCCGATGATATTCCGGACGTCAGTCTGAGCGAGATTAGAATGATTCTCCAGCACCTTAAAAACGGAAAACCCCGGGCGAGAACTTGAAGTCCTTCAGAAGCTCTTTAATTCCATCCTCAATGGTGGCACTACTCCGGAGGCGGGGAGCAGAAGTGCGATGGTCTTGTTCTTCCAGAAAGGCGATAATGCTCTCTTGAAGGACTACAGACCGATTTCTCTTCTGAGCTGCGTCTACATGCTGTTTTCGAGAGTCATTACAAATCGTCTCGCACGTATACTTGACAACTTCCCGCCTCCCGAACAAGCCGGTTCCCGAAAAGGCTTTAGCACCATAGACCACATACATACTCTTCGGCAAATTATACAGAAGACGGAGGAGTACAATTTGTCACTATGTCTTGTGTATGTGGACTATGAGAAAGCCTTTGATTTCGTTGAAATCTGGGCGGTGCTGCAATCCCTTCAGCGGTGCTAAGTTGACTGTCGGTATTTCTATCCAAGTACGGAATAGAGTATGAAACCTATCCAACTGCATAGAGGTGTAAGATAGGATGATGTTATATCCCCGATAATCTTTACTGCTGCATTGGAAGACGTTTTCAAGCTACTGGACTGGAAAGGATATGGTATGTACATTAATGGCGAGTACATCACTCACCTTCGTTTTGCTGATGATATAACTCTTATGGCAGAATCGCTGGAGGACCTAAGCACTATGCTCAATGACCTCAATAGTGTCTTCCAACGGATAGGTCTTAAGATGAATATGGACAAAACAAAGATCATGTGTAATCTTCATATCACACCTATGCCGGTATTAGTTGGTAGCACTAAGCTCGAAGTTGTTGACGAGTATGTTTACCTTGGACAAATAGTCCGACTAGGTAAGTCCAAAAAGTAAGGTCAATCGACGGATTCAACTCGACTAGGCAGCGTGCGGGAAATTGCGACACATCTTCTCGTCGGGTATACCTCAAAACTTGAAAACGAGACTGTACAACCAGTGCGTGTTGTCAGTGATGACTTATGGAATTTAGACGTAGTCCTTCACTGCTGGCTGTATGATGATGCTCGAATTCGCTCAGCGAGCTATGGAAAGGGCTATGCTCGGGTTTTCTCTGCGTGATAAACTTAGAAATGAAGATATCCGCAGTAGAACCAGAGTGACCGACATAGCCCAACGGATTAGTAAGCTAAAGTGGTAATGAGCCGGCCATATAGCTGGAAGAACCGACAACCGATGGGGAGAAAAGGTTCTCGAGTGGCAGCCTCGTACCAGTAGGTGATGTGTAAGGGGTGACCCCCTACTAGATGGAGTGACGACCTCGTAAGACATGCAGGAAGTCGATGGATGCATGTTCAGCAGTGGATTTGTGAAAGGATGTGATGTGTAATGATGATGATGACCCAAAAAGCATCCGATAATTCTCGATTTACTTGTTTTTCGGGCATTACCCATTACATTTAGATTTCGTCGTCAACATATTTTCGTATCTACAAAGGGACAGACATATGTGTGAATGATAGTTGAAACGATAAACAAGATTACTTCCTCTTACTAGGTCAGTCGAGAAATCCTACGTCACTCAGAAATATACAAACATGATGCGATGTAAGTCTATATACGATCGATGCACCCAATGGTTTCCTGATAACATTTGACCTTACATATTTACTTCATTTTATTTCGACATCATTACGTGAATCTTGTACTTTATTTCTTCAATAATTACTAATTAGGAAAATGCATTTAGATGGTAAGATAGTTGCAGGAAAGAATATTAAAACATGTCGAAACTAACATAATGATTTGTATATTATATTACAATTTTGCTAACATTTATATATTATCGTAATGTAGGCAAAGATACATAAGTATTTGGACTTGTCTGTGGTGTCAGGTTTTTATTTAAAAGAAAAGACAAAAACGAAATAACCTTGCACTGCTGTATACGCGTTTTGAAGGGTAAAGGGATTTTTTTTTAAATAAAATAAGGGTGACAAACGAGCACACAGACCACCTGATGGTAAGCGGATGCGGTGGATCATAGACATCTAAATCTAAATGCAATCTAAGTGCGATTAAAATAAAAATGCAGATGCATTGTTACCCCTGAAGACTGATCCGAATTCGAGTAATGTTTTTAGTAAACTATCACATCAGAACTACATGTAACGTTCGCCCGATTTTTTTTTTTACTAATGCTTGACCACAATCCCGCCTGGTGGTAAGTGTTGATGCAGCCCTAGATGGTAAATCGCACTGTCTTATCGTAACAAAAGCCTATTCACTCTTGCCTTGAAGACGCCCAGATTGTATTCGGACGGAAAGATAGACACCGGCAAATTATTCAAATTGGTGTACACATTACAAAAGACGAAGCAAACCTTTTGGTTCTAATGCGTGGAATATCGACAACAAAGGGGTGAAGACCCACCGACCGCCTGCTTGTCCGATGGTGGAAAGGAGAGGGAGGAATTAAAGCGTGTAATTCCTGTGCGTACACTCACCGAAATGCATCCTATAGAATACCGAGAGACTGGCTACTCTGCGCCTGTGCTCGAGGCTGACAAGTTTGGTTTCAAACAAATCAAGGTCACCAATGAACCTCTTAGCCCGTCGCTATACTGAATCCAACACTGCCAGGTGGCATTTTGTAGCACCAGCCCATATGTGACAGCAGTACTCCATGCACGACTGGAATTGCGCTTTATATAAGGTAAGAAGCTGCCGCGACGTGTACCATTCTTGAGGCAAAACATCATTGTTGCGTTCTACCTGGTCCTTTGAGCCCGGTCATATGTTTGCCCAAGATCCTGATATTTCATGCTGCAGGAGCTCATGGTTGATGAATGTATTGGTTTAATTGAATTTAAGACTAAATATCTTGCCTTTTAATCGTATTTGCATATAATTTAAAGACCCAATAAAATTTCTATAATGAAAGGTAAAACCAACCAACCAACTAATGCATAACGTTATTTTATAATATTATGAAGTATTAAACCGTTATGATCATTAGTGCTCGTCCGTTCAGATTCAAATTTTTGATAGACCTCCCGTCATCAATCATCCCATCGACCCCCTATTTGTCACTGTTGCGTTTCGATTTACGGTAGAACGCTGCATCATAAATTACAATTACTATTAAAGCATACAATTTACCTTAGGCTTTTGTACATGCTTGTGTGTATGGGTAGTCCAAAGTCATCATAACCCACATTCTCCGTGTATACCCAGGTCCCGCCGAGTTGCGCCGCTTGTTCCAGCACATCGACTGTAGCCACGCTTGGTTCGACCAACAGATGGCGGGCAGCGCAAAGGCCCGCTGCTCCCGCTCCGATTACACATACACGTGTCATTGCTGTGGAAATACAGTCGATGTTAGCTAATAATATGATATCCCGGTTAATGTTTAAGAGGAATTGAATCTGGTTCTTTTCTCACTCAAAGGCAATTATTGACATTCAGCAAGGGAACGCAGACAGCATTCTTGGTACTATACCGCGGGGAGTAGGAGTGAAGGACAATTAAAGTTTTTAGTTTTAGTTTTTTTTTTTAATTATGGTTTTTTAATATTGTATACCTATATTTGAATGTTACGTAAATATAGGAATTAAAATTAATCTTATCAAAATTTCAATTAATGTTATCATATTTTCTCTTAGAATCACTTTGCTCTTTAGAAACCTTGAAAATTTTGTGAAATACGTATTTCTCCAACAAACTACAAACTAATACTTTCATACACGGGTCAATACTGTAAGTACTTATAATTTTGGAAAATTTCGGGATGCTCATTACGGTGCAGCATAGAAATCTGTTAATACCATTACTACGTTCTTTCTTATGATAATGGCAAGGAATAAGAAGGGATGCTTGTCCCTTATATGAATGATGTAAGAAAAGGTAAAAATCAACATTTAATTACTTTGATGAGTGATGTGATTGAGTGATGATCATACTCGTAATGATCATAATAATGCAGTATAATTTTTTATTTTGGCAAATGTGTGACAAATAGTTTTGATGTACATATTCGCTTGATACGGAGGATGCAAGGTCAATGTTTTGAGGTGTATTTATCAACACCTTTTTTTAATAGTATAAGAACGAGAACACAGTCCACCTAATGGTAAGTGGATGCTGTAGCCCATAGATATCTAATTTTTTTTCGATCGAGAATCAAAATGCAGATGCTTTGTCACCCCTGAGGATTAAGTTGAAATGCCTTGTTTGCAGTTAGGAGCTCCGGTACTCTATACTCACCTATACCATCATTGTACATACGAAAAACAGCAGCTGTATTCTGTAAGAGCATAGTCTTATCCCGGTTGATCCGACCCATTTGTGCTACAACCAGAATATAGCTGCAACATAGGCATGGCTCTGGCACGTAACACTTTAAAGCTAAGCTCTTGTTAGATAGTAACTAGTGCACTAGTGAGTGCACTTTTCCGAGCTCGCACGGACTGGATCCCTACTGGCACACTAGCTTTAAAAGCTACTTTATGCATTCGGTTTTCTCGCTAAACATTTAAATTTTTAATTTATTTATTTACAAGTTGATAATCAATCTTATTTAATTTAAAACCGTGTAGCGGCAGTGTACAAATATCCACTACCCCATTTCATCCCGTGGGTGTCGTTAGAGGTGACAGAGGGAAATTTAACAAGGAGATGGGCATTGGGCAGCAGCATCTTCCTGATAACAGCTGAATGAAAAAATGCGGTATTCAACCTTCTTGCTAAGCGTGGTAAATATGATCAATATATACTCCTATAAGCTAATCTACGGCCTATGTTCCGAAGTGGAGTTTTGATAGGCTGTAGTGACAATCTTATTTAATCGGCTACACTCGGCGTTACAATTTGCGGACTCATGATCTAGCGACATTTTCTGCCATAAAATTATAATTTATTGTTTTCATTAATATTCAACCTTAACCTATAATCTGGCTGAATACTTGAGTGGAATAATTGAACTATTTCGTTCGTATAGCTGTAGTTTTTAATTTGGTTGTGATGTATTTTATCATTGATTTGTATATTATTTTATCTTATAAATTATCTTATGAATATCTGAGGATTGAATAATTGGCTTTAAGTTAACAATAACGTAATATATTATGTATACTAGAGTCAAAGGTATGAAAAACATAATAATATTTGTTTACGATTTCTCGAAGGCGGAAACAGACAGTCCGAGGTACAGACGGACGGACAAAGCAAATTACACATCTTACGTTGTGTGTTGACTTTGTGATAGTGAGGGGGCAGGAATGTCAGGGTTGTGAACAATTAATCCTTCAACACGCGAGTTCGATATCCGGCTACTTGTTCCGATATTTTTATTGTTTTGCACCAACATAACATATATTAAATTATATTACTTAATAGCGAACCGCCACCTCTTCGCCTGGATAATTTCTAAAAATGTCGGCCTGTTTATTTTAAGGTAATCAAAACCTTTATTTTATCATTATTTTTTTTTGCAAATGTCTAAGTTTCTCGGATAAAATATCGCGTAGATCACTCTTCGCATTGCTCTCTATCTGTTAGTGAAGTTTCATTACAATCGGTTCAACCATTCTGAAGACTAGCCCGGATAGATAGATAAACAGACGGACAGACAGACGGACGAAAAGACAGACGGACTGATTTTTTTTTAATGATTATTCGTGCCTTAGTGGCATGCAAATAGCTTCAGCTCAATATAAGGCAATTATTTCGATGTTACAGACATACATTTCTATTTTATTTATATGTATAGAAAAGACTAGCGCCTCTTCACTAATATTTTAGCGGTAAGAGATATAGTGGTTTACGTCACTTGATATTTATTTAAGCCAAGTATTGCCGGAACGGGACGGTGATAAGAGATGAAAGTGCCGTCTAAGAAGGGGATTTTTTTTTATAGGAATAGGGTGACAAATGAGCACACAGTCTACCTGATGGTAAGTGATTGCTGTGGCCCATAGACATTTGCGAATCAAAATGCAGATGCGTTGTCACGTGTGACGACTAAGATGGAATGCCTCTTTTCCAGTAAAAAGGGTCTCCGGTTCTCTACACTCATCATACGAAACACAGCAGCCTTAAGTTGCTATTTTACGCTGGTATTCTGTAAGAGCGTGGTCCTTCCCCAGTCGAGCCGACCCATTCGTGCTACAATTACACTACTAATATAGCTGCAGCATCGCTCTACCACGATCTAGGGAATGCTACGTTCAAGGTCTAATAAAAAACTAAAAATATTAAAATATTTAAATTTGCTCTTTTAATATCAAAATAACAGGCTTCTTTTAAGCGTCGAGGGTTATTTAAATGCTACTAAGATATGAACCACCATTTAAAAATCACAATCTCTGGCAAAATCGATTGTGGTGAAACTTTACGAACAGATAGAGATCAATGTTAATAATGATCTAGGCAATTTTATTTGACAAACATGGACTTTTTGTAAAATCGAAAAACTGATTAAATGAATGGTTTTTCATGATTTACTCATAAACTCTACTACCGCGTTTAGACTCTTGCCTCGCGCCTCGCCAGGCGACTCGCCTCGTACCTCGCCTCGCAGCTCGCGTACGAGTATTGTTGCGAGGTAACGAGTGCCTGTTTACACTTCCGCGATGCGGTCAGTTTGCGTTGAGCCAGCAACGATGAAAGACGTCGAAATAATAGCGCCATCAACTCTTGCCTTAATAAGTATTTATCAATGCTTGACCATTTTAAAAAGAATTAAATTAATAAAAATACGTCGTTGAGGAAGAATATGACGGATGATATCTATTCATCGTAAACAATAAAAAAAGAAACCTTTTCAGTTTCATAATTTTATATAAAATGCTAATACCTATTGTGCAAGATTAAATAATATTATTTTATTAAAATTGTAATTTTAAAACAAAAGCAATTCGAATGTTATTATGGAAGGGCGCCGTAAACAAACTGAACGAGACGCGAGTGTAAACACCACGCTCGCGTCCCTCGCGAGGCCCTTTGCCTCTTGCCCAAAAAACCGCCTACGACGCGAGCGCCGCGAGTGGCGAGGCGAGCTGCGAGGCGAGCCACGAGCTAGCGTTTACACTCGCGCCTCGTGGCTCGCCTCGCGACTCGCCTCGCCGCTAGCGCGAGCATGTAAACGGGAGGTAAGAGGTAAAAATATCGCTTTTTGGTTTGCATTTTAACACAGTAAAGTCGTTACACTATGTTATCTATATCTTTAAGTCTTTTTTTTATATAGAATAAGTGTGACAAACGAGCACACAGTTCACCTGATGGTAAGTGGATGCTGTGGCCCATAGACATCTACATCTATCCTCGTTTAAGAATCAAAATGCAGATGCGTTGTCACTTGAGGACTAAGATCTCTTTGCTGAGCACGCCAAGCTTTTTAGAGGCCAATTTGGCCTTCCCTTCCAAGTGAGTATATAATATAGTATAGTGTATATTTTTTATATTTAAATATACACTATACTATATACTAGTATAGTGTATATTTTTCACATTTCCACAAACAGCGGTTTAGTTGGTAGAGGGGGGGGGGGGGCACATGACTAATGAAAAATACCACTTTAAAGATAAATATTTCGCAAACGGACCCCTGAATCGAAAATATATTGTTTCATACCCGCAGTGTTTTTGAAAGACCTATCTAACGATACCACACACAAGGTTAAAAAAAATCATCCCACATTTACCTGTATGAGAGCTACCCAAAATAAAAATGTATTTACGGATTTTATTTCAAAGTTTTGTAGACGTGATTAATATCTATAACCATGCCAAATTATAGATTTGTAGCACCTAGTCTTTGAGTAAAACCGCGGATGGACGGACGGACATGGCGAAACTATAAGGGTTCCTTAGTTATATAACTACGGAACCCTAAAAATTAATCGAAATGACATATACATCTAAATATTAAGTATTAATTACAGACATAACATGAATACCATTCATTGTTATAGTTTTTTAAATCGTAGGAATCGTAGAAATTTGGTAAACTCCCGGTCTATAAAAATTTTAATTGTTGCATTCCGGTCGCATTATAAAAAAATGACTAACATTGTTCGGTGAAAAATGCTTTATTATCGTTAACCGACTTCAAAAAATAAAGAGATTCTCAATTCGACGGTATTTGTTTTGATATGTGTTATGCGAATACTTCGCTGCTTGTAAACCGAGTTTAGTCATTATTTTATTTTCATTGAATACAGTGTACTACGAGGTTACATATCGATGCAACCATGTTTATGTTCAATAAACATTTCCGGATTCTACTCGACAACTCTTTGTAAATAGGGCAATTTTTCGAAACCCTTCGTTCCATTCTACTTCCATTCTACTTTATTGA